CACCCCACTAACCTCCGTGGCCCAGGTGGAAGTCAGGAGGCACAGCTCTGACTGTAATAGGACTCTAGCAAGTCACTTAGGCTCTCTGAGCCAATTTTTCTCATTTACAAAACAGGGATACTTACCTGTCCTATTTACCTTGTAGAATTGTTGTGAGGGTCAGAGAGGGATGAAAATGCTTTGAAAAATAGCCTCCATGAGGGAAGAGGGGCAGGTCAGCACAGTGATAGGCACAATGGAATCATTAAGAACACAAAGCTAGCCTGACCAAGTGGCTCAGTTGGTTGGAGTATTGTCTTGTAGACCAAAAGTGGCAGGTTCAACTCCCAGTCAGGACTCATACCTAGATTTTGGGTTCGATCCCCGGTCGGAGAGGCAACCGATTGATGTTTCTCACATGGATATTTCTCTCTCTTTCTCTCTCCCTTCCTCTCTCTCTAAAATCAATAAAAACATACTTTCGGGTGAGATTTTTTTTAAAAAGAGCACAAGGCTATGAGTTTGAATCCTGGCTCTGGCCTTGAGCAAGTTACTTCCTCTCAATGAGCTTTGTGTTTATTACTGTAAAGTGGATAATTATAGTACCTAACTCCCTAGGATATTGTTATAGGGATTAAAAGAGCTAAAATTTATGAAGCGCTTAGCAGAACATCTGGCTCTATAGTAATTGTTCTATGATGGTAGCGATTACTAGTATTAATATAATTATTATGAGCACTGTTTAACTCACCATTGTATCTCCAAGTGCCTGACACATAGTAGAAACTTACTGAATACTTTAGAACAGATGGATGGATGGAGCCATATCACATCTGCAGGTTATTATTCATTAATCAATGAGTAGGAATTGGGGCCAGGGCTGAGGGATACAACAGTCATCTGAGATGGGGCCCTTGTCCTAAAGCAGCTAAGGAAGCAAGACTATGCCCAGAATGACTAGATCATATATAAGTTGGTGTCATATATAAGCCGGGCAGATGAACCTCTTACCTGCCCTAGGACTATGGAAAATGGAAAAAATATTAAGGGCAGGAATAATCAGGGAAGGCTTCATGGAGGAGACAGGACTTGAGAAGAGCCTCAAGAATTTAGGTAAGTGGAAGAGAAGGCATCCCTGGCAGGGGAACAGCATGAGCAAAGATCGAAAGAAGGGATGAGAAAGGCGCCAAAAACCTATGTGCATCACTGCTATTGCTCTCCCCGTCTCACAGATAAAGAAACTAAGGCTCAGAGGAGTAGGATAGCTTTTGCCATGGCCACACTGGTGTAGAAATCAGAAAAGCTGGGCCTTGAGCTCCGTCTCTCTGACTCCAAAGCCCATGCTCTTTCCCAGGACCTGTGTTTCCTGGCACAGATCTGAGGGTGTTTGTGGGAGGTGGTGGGACAGGGCTGGGTTCAGCTGACACCAGATGATTGTCTGCATTTCTTCCCAACTCTACATTCAGCGATGTTACATTGGTAGCTTAAAGTCAGCCATGGTGGGAGTATTTACAGTAAGGAAATCAGTAAATACTACAAATTGGGGTTTTATTTGTTGGTTTGTTATTGTTTTTCTCCCTGGATAGCTAGCTAAGCATTTATCAGCCCACCATGGGCTGGATAGGAACTGTGGAATGAGGTTGCAGAGGCCTAATGTGCTTACAGCACTGAGAAAAGAGCTCCCATGAGTGCGGTGATGCCCCCCTGGTGGGTTTTGAGGAGAAGGCTCTGACGCTAGAGTGCAGTCCAGACTGGCAGTGGGAAAGGGGGTCAAGCCCCAGAGCTGTGTTTTAGGGGTTGAGTACTGGGCTTGGTTTGGGGATGGGGTGCTGATCTGTCAGCCTGGAGGATGATGTCTGAAGGCCTAGAGCAGGTGGCAGGTGGCCTTTTGAGAGAGAGAAGTGCCTGTGATCTCCATGAGAGCTCAGATCCTGCCTTATTCACACTGTGTCCCTGATGCCTAAAACCATGCATGGTACAAAGTAGGCCCTTGAAGATTTTATAGAATAACTGAATCGGTGATAAAACAGATTAGTGATTCTGATGAAGCTGAGATGACTGGGGAAACCGTAGATATCAATTAGGTTTACAAGAAGACTCATCTCTAATCAAGTTCTTCACCAGCTGCGTGATCTTGAATAAGCCATTTTTCCTCTCTTGGCCAGCCTCTGAATCTGTGTAATGAGCAGTGTGTGTCTTTGGTTCTGTGTAATTCTGGATGAAGCAAATGTCTAAAGGATTCCAAATCAATTGCTGCAGGGTCAGAATTCATCCAGATTCTCAGTAGAGAGGCAGAGGGCTTGGTTGAAACAACCCTGGACCTGGAATCTGAAGGCATGAGTCAAAGCCTGGCACCTCCTCAGCTGGGGGAGGGGGGGCGACTTGGAGCAAGTCCCTTCCCCTCTCTGGGCCTCCTCCTTCTCATTTGCAAAGTGGAGAGGTTCCCCCAGATGTCAATCAAGGTTGAAGTTATGCAGGTACTTTCCCCACAAAGGCTGTGCTCAAGGGTCTTGGCACCTACTGTTTCCCCAGCAAACTGCAAGGAGGGAGGAGGCAGGCGGGGTGGTGGGAGCCTTTGCCTTGGACCAGTCCCAAAGGCTCCATCATCCCTCCTTGGTTGTTTTTAGTGCTTAATTGCCTTTGGTTTTAAAACTCCTTTCCCTGAAGCCACATTTAGTGGGTAATCAATATGGAAAACCACAAGTGAACTGCACTCAGGGAAGTCCAATCCCTGTGGTTCTCCCTTGAAAGAAAAAAAACCCAAAACATTAAATAAGCATTTACCAGAGCACTCATTAATAGTAAGTAATATTCTCAGAACAACCTTGCGAGATAGGTTTATTATCCCCACTTTACAGAAAAGGAAATAATGGCACCTATTATTTATTAAGCATGAACTACCTGCTAGGCGCTGTTCTAACCACTTGCCATAGGGTATCATAGTCATTCCTTCCAATGATCCTACAAGATAGGGACTGTCATTAACTCTGTTTTACATATGAGAAAACAGAGGCTTGAGAGCTAGTTGCTTTTGCCTCAGGTCACAAAGCCTGTGTCAGAGACTCAATGTGACCCAGATCTGATGATTCCAGAGTGCACTCCCTAACTACTATGCTATGTTGTCTCCATTCATTCATTCATTCATTCAGCCAGCCAGCCAGCCATTAAGTATTTAGCCAGGGCCGACTATAGGCATGGCTTTGTGAAAGATACTGAGATAGAGGGTGAATAAAAACCAAACATCATCCCTGCCCTTATGTCTGGTGGGGAAGACAGATATTAAGTAAATTACTCATTAATTAACTTAAATTGATGACTGGTGCATGTGCTGCAGAGGCTATGAAAGGGAAGACTTCCCTGGGAAAGTGTTAATTGGATTCCAATCAGAAAAATGAGTAGGCATTAGCTAGGTGAAGGGGTGGGGAAGAGTGTTCCAGACAGGAAACAGCATGTGCAAAGGCCCTGTGCAGGGAGGGAGGAGGGCAGATCTAAGGGGCTGCTGGGTCTGTGTGGCTAGGAGGACAGTGCAGACTTGGCGTCTGAGAAGTGAGCTGTGGCCAACCACACAGGACCTTCAGACCACGTTAAGGAGTTTGAACTTTATTCTGAGCCTTGAAAAGTCTTAAAGAGTTTTAAGTAGGGAGTGACATGATCAAATTTGCATCTTGCAGAGTAGCTGGGTGAAGGGGCAATGTAGAGAACAAATTAGAAGGGGGCAAGAAGTGGATGAGGGCAGACCTGGTAGAGGAGAAAGGGGAAGGGTTGGAGCAGGAGACTAGAGGGGGGGACGTAGAGAAAAATGGGTGCAGGTGGTGCGATGTTTTTTTTCTGACACAAAATTATGTGGGGTTCTTCCCACACCAACACCTGTCTCCAATTCACCAACACCAATTGGGTGTCCCATCATTCAATTCAATTCTGATACTAACGACCCACAGCGAGTGTCAGACTCCACAGGTAGAAGGGCTCTGTCCCATAAGTCTGCCCTCGCTTCAGATGCCACTCGAAAGTCCCGGGTTCCCAGGCTACCCACACTCCTGTCTGACTTGGCTACAAATTCAGGGGTTCCTATGACTCNGTCTGCGCTCGCTTCAAATGCCACTCGAAAGTCCCGGGTTCCCAGGCTACCCACACTCCTGTCTGACTTGGCTACAAATTCAGGGGTTCCTATGACTCTCCCCACTAGGTTCCGTAATTTGCTAAAATGACGTGCAGAACTCAGGAAAGCACTTTACTTACTGGTTTTTTATAAAGGGTCCAAGGGCAAGGTACGGGGGTGGGGCGCAGGCCAGGGAGGCACAGAGCTTCCATGCCCTCTCCAGGCCACTCTCCCAGCACCTAGATGTGTTCACAACCCACCCTCTTGATGGAGGTTTAATTATGTGGCATCTTTAAGTCACTGGCTGTTGGTGATTGAACTCAATCTCCAGCCCCTCTCCCCTCCCGTGTTGGGGCAGCTAAAAGTTCCAGCTCTCAATCAGAGCTTGATCCTCCCCCCACCAGTCCCCATCCTGAAGCCATCTAGGCACCCCCCCTCCCCTGCCTGTCGTCTGGAGAGTAGAAGGGTTTTAAGAGCTCTGTGCCAAGAACCTAGGACAAAGACCAAATATTTATTTATTCATTCATTTATTTATTTATTAAATATCTTTTTCTTGGTTCTAGAGAGAGGAAAGGAGAGGAAGAGAGAGATAGGAACATCAATGATGAGAGAGTCGTTGACCAGCTGCCTCCTGCACGCCCCTTACTGGGGATCAAGCCCGAAACCTGGGCATGTGCCCTGACCAGGAATCGAACCATGACCTCCTGGTTCATAGGTTGATGCTCAACCACTGAGCCACGCCGGCTGGGCTATTTATTTTTTATTATATCACAAAGGGTGAGGGAGAAGTCAAGGTGGGCTTTAGGACCAGTAGCCCACCCTGGGCTCACCCTCAGGCTGTTGTTTGCCCTTCCAGTGTTGGCCTGGCCCCAGGGTCCCTAGCTGGGGACCTTGGTATCTTCACCCTCCCTTCTCTCTCCAGGAGATTGTGACTGCTTTGAGCTGCGGTAAAAACATTGTGCCCATCATTGATGGCTTCGAGTGGCCAGAGCCCCAGGCCCTGCCTGAGGACATGCAGGCCGTGCTCACCTTCAACGGCATCAAGTGA